AACTACATGATCCTAAAATGCCTAAAATGAGATTTTAAACAAACAATAACTTAAGTGAAAAAGGCTTAAAGTAGCCTTTTTAGGAAGTTAAAACTACTTAAGAAAAATCTCAAGAAATCTTAATTTTCATGAATGATGTATTTTCCTTTTTTGTCCTTTTACATTTTATCATAATTCAAAAATCTACCTTTTAAGGCTCATCGGGCCAAATCACATCAATTTTTATATTCGGCCCTACGATTCTAATCACATAATCTCACCGGTTCATATAGTTCTTGTGTCAACAATTATGAATTGAATAAAATTTTTGATGCATTACAAGTTTCTTTGTTTTGCTATAAAAGAATAACAATGAGGTTTTAAAGATAAAAGGTGCATTTGTTGAACTAAAGAGGTTTAGCAAAAATGTTTATGAAATTTCAAATTTACATCATTTTTAATTTTTAGGTTAAATTATTTTACCATATGATTTATATACATTAAAAGCTTAATAATCATTTTTCTTAAACAATAACATAGTTGTTTCTTTGCATGGCTTGCTTAAGTCCAAAAGACTTTTTTTCTTTAATAAGAAAAGTTTGTTTGCCTTGTCAAATTGAGACATGCACCACATGCCCAAAAACCAAGGAAGATAGGCTCACTTTACCACTAGGCCAAATCACAAGAGGACAAGCCAAGCTACTCAAAGACAAATTCCAGGCTACAATCCAAGCCTTAATTAATAAGGGAATACACACCCACATGGAGATTAAAGAGTTCAAGGAAGGAAACTCACTCATCCTTCCTCCTACATCAACTTGGATCACCACAATCAAGTTACTTACGAGCCCAATTGCTAGACCCACAAAGTTATGCCTAGAAATGAGTTTGAACCCCCTTAAGGCACAAAACTTGTATAGTTACCCAGTTCTAAATCTATAAATCCTGGGATAATTCATTTAGGATTTGATGATTATTTATTTAATTTTATTAGGATAAGGGTAAGGGTATTTGAATGTAAACCTTTGATAGCTTATCACCTTCCACTTTGCTTAACACTCCCAACCAATATATAAGCCTTGATAGTGAATCCAACTCATCCCATTTCTTATCATAAGTATGGGCACCTATCACATGCAGTTTTCAAGCTATGCCCCCATGCCCTTCTAGAAGACTCATCTAGACCGTCTATCAAGTCCCAAGAATCCTATCATACTTACTTTCATCAACATCATCAAATCAAAGCTTCATCAAGGGCCGTCATTCATGCCTCTTATCTTCATACAGATTTAGGATAAATTTCATTATTATTTTATGTTTCCATCATGTTACAACTAGGACTCCTCAAAACCTATATAAAGGAGGCTCATCCCACCATTGTAAATATCAATTGTTTTATTATATACAATATAACAAGAGTTTACTTTTGCAAGAGCTTATAGCTTTGTGCCTTCAAAGTTTCTTTTTCTTTTAGTTCTTTTGAGTTATTGAGAGATAAATATTCACACTCTAGTTTGCCTTTTTATTGCGATTAGTAAGGCTAGTTAGTCGTCTTATCGAGTTTGCATTTTCATTGCAACTAGGAGGGTTCGATAGGACAATTATCCTTCATGCTCATCTTCCATTATCAGCATCATATTCTTCCCTACATCACCATCATGCCACCATCATCCTTAAATTAGGGTTTGTGTCATCATCATACCTACCAGGGTCAATTTTCAAATCAATTTTCTCATCAATCTAACAATCTGATCTAAGTTTTGTTTTCACCATCATGATCCTTAAATCTTTATCTTTCCAATGAGCATTCATCCATAAAAATCCAATATCAAATAGACTTGGTAAGGAGATAAGTTCAATTCTTTTATTGCACACTTTGTCTTTAGATTTATTTCATTACCCTTGTTTATTCATTTTCTTTGTTTTCTCATCTATTCTATTGCCCTCTTTTTCATTGTCCTTGATCTTTGTTTCCCTTGTCTTACAACAGCAAAACACTTCTCTGTGACTCCCTAGTTGCTTGGGATAGGCACGAGTCGGGTTTGGACTCGAAAATTTTACAACCTCCATGAAAACTAAAATAATATACACCCTCCACCTGACCCGAACCCGACTCGAATTTTTGAGATGAAATTCAAACCTGATCCAACCAAACCCAAAATAATAAAAAAATTATTTTTATTTAATAAAAATATAGATTTAATTGAAAAAATAATGTATATAGGGGTATTATTGTAATTATCCCTAAATATATAAAGAAAACTTATATTTTTCAGGTTGGGTCAGGTCGGGTCGAGTCAAGTATTTTTCACCCTAAACCCAAACCTGATCCGACTCAAACATTACCATTCAAAACTTGACCCAAACATGAAATGTTTTTAAAAATATAACCCAATTGGATCGAGTCAAGTCAAACTCGTATTCGGGTCCCACGCCCATCCCTACTAGCTACCGGCCCTATCAATTCATCACATCCTCTCATTTTCTTTATTGAGTCCAAAGCCTTTTAGGTTTAATTCCTCAACAAGTGAAACACTCATTCATTTGTTGTCGTTTCTCTATTAGTTGATATCATATTTGGGACAATTCTTTGAAAGAATCAAAGCAATTTGACTTTTTCTTCAAGCATCACCGGTCTAAGTACCCCAACGGAGCTAGTTCACACAAGTTCACCTTTTTCAGGTTATTTTTTAATTATTTCAATTTAGGTTCATTTCATTCTTATTAGTTTTCTTATTTTCAACAAAAATAAAAAAAGATAAAAAAATTAAAAAATCCACAAATTTCAAATGAAGGCATTTGAAGTTGATTTTTTATAGGTACTTCATGATAAGAATAATCTACAGTAAAAAATTCAGCCCAATCACACTCCATTCGACCCCTTAAATAAATCATTCAAGTTTGTTCAATAGATTCGGGTTATTCTCATTGACAAATTTCTACAGAATTTTCCTAAAAGAATTTGGGTTGAATATTTCCATATTGAAACTACACTCATTGAGTAACATATAAAAAAATTAGAATTTCTGGAGGTCGACAACCCCTCAAACTATTGCTCTTGCTCAAGTTGATCATCATTTTAGGTCTTTCGGGTTTGCGTTTTGTAATTTCTTTGATTCTTATTGGTTTAGGTTCCTTTGTCTAACCATTTATTTGTTCCTCTACATCATCTAACACATTATGTTCCTTGTGTTAGTAGGACTAAAAGAGTTTGCATACTTCTTCTTCTTTGCATTCTCGTTCACTTGGAGTCATACCTTTCTTTAACCTCCTAGAGTTTTCTAAGTTTCTTTTCCCCCTTTTGTTAGCGATCGAACTTCGATACGAACATCAAAAGTCTTCTTGGAGAAGAGAGTTTTAAATAGTACAATCGACTTTCTCACCTCTCGTTGTGTTGCTTTCTTAGAGTGACTTTTGAGGTTTCTTATTTTCCTTTATTTTTCAACTTTAATTTTTTTTGAGTGTTTTGATTTTCAGATGGAAAGAGAAGAAAATCTCAATGAGACAATCACTAGTCTCTTTAATGCTATACAACTTCACACAAACATACAATGGATTTCAATATTGGTTTGATGAACTCAATCTCACCTTACGACAACAACAATAACCATCGATTGATCAACTGAGAAAAACTGAATAAAATCAACCAAACAATGGAATTCACAACCTAGGTTTCAAATGTCAAAACTTTTTGTAAAATCAAAGTTCACAATTCCTATTCAAAGGAGATTATGACTTGGACAGTTACATCGAATGGAAGGAAAAGTTGATCTCATGTTCTGTTACCACGACTATCCCATAGAAGAACATGTACCACTTATCATAATGAAATTTGGGATATGCTCACACTTAGTGATGCTTACTAAAAAAGCGATTCAAGATCAAAAAATGCATGACATCACATCGTGGGCAGCACTGAAGTTATTCATGAGAAACCATTTTCTTCTGACATGCTACACTAGGAAAGTAAAACAAAGACTCCACCGACTTTGACAAGAAATAAGTTCAGTCGAAGACCACTACAATGAGATGCAATCTCTAATGAACCTAAAAACATAAATGAAGAACAAGAAGAAGAGACAGTATCAAGATTTGATTTCATCTTAAACATGAACATAGTTTATCTTCTTGACTTGCATGGTTATGAAAACCTTAAAGATACATTGAAGAAAGCAATAACAATCGAAGTAAAACTTCAAAGGAAACTTTGCATTTGATAAAATTACCAAGGTACTTCATCTTCTTACCAAGGTAATTCATCAAATTCCACTTCATCTTCTACTCCACTTTCTATCAAGAATAAGAAATCGAGGAATGAAAACCCTATTGTGTCTAATAAAGACATGGCCATAAACCTTAAAAGGTCTCGAATGATAAAAACCCTATGCTTTAAATGCAAAGGTTATGGTCATGTAAGTCACGATTGTTCAAATTTAAAAAACATGATAATCTAATAGAAAGGTATTAGTTTATCTAACTTAGAAATGGATTGTCCTGATAATATGGAAAAAGATGCACTGATTGATTCAGATAGTGATTGGTTTGATGCATTATGCTTGGTTGTGAGGCAAAATATAAGTATACAAGCTGTCGATAACTCGGATATACAAAGAACAAGCATCTTCTACACGAGATGTCAGATAAAATTTAAGGCATATTCCTTGATCATCAACAATGGAAGTTGTGTCAATGTGACTAGCATTTATGTGGTGGATACACTTAACTTGCCTTGTCAATGACATCCAAAGCCATAGTGTTTACAATGGCTTAATAAGAGTTTTGAACTGAAGGTCACAAAACAATGCCTCATTAATCTGAGATGGGTAAATATTGTGATGATATATGGTGTGATGTACTTCCAATGCAAGCATCTTACATTCTTTTAGGATAAGCATTACAATATGAAATTAATGTTATTTACTATGGTAAAGCGAACAAGTACTCAAAGAACATCAATAGTAATCCTTACAATCTCGGACTGGTGCATCCAAAAGTAATTTTGCAAGATCAAGAGAGAATTTGTGAAGAGGTTCGGAACTTAAAAAAGGAGGCAAAATTAAAAGAGGACACAACCTATAAAAGCAAAAAAATGACCAACGGGAGGAAAAGAATCCATTTATGAGAAAAAATAGTGCCACAGAACATTTATGTGAGCACAAAAGACTTGAGAGAAACATTTTCCCATAATAAAACTTGTATCCCAATATGTTTTAAAGACTCCATATTTTTTATTTCTACTAATCTCACATATTTGCCTAGTTTGTTTGTTTATCTTTTAAAAGAATTCATGGATGTTTTAAGTGATCCAACAGATAGTTACCACCTAAAAGAATAATAAAACATCAAATTGATTTCATTTTGGGCTCATTCATTTCGAACTCTGTTTATCGATGCAATCCCGAAGGAACCAAATAATTGGAATGACTAGTAGAAGTATTTTTATAAAAAGGTCACATCCGTGAAAGTGTTAGTCCTTGTGGTGTTACAGTCATTCTCGTGGCAAAGAAAGATAGCACATTCTGAATGTGTTTAGATTGCAGACCGATCAACCAAATAACAATCAAATACATGCATCCCATTCCACGCCTTGATGATATGTTAGATGAACATTATGGTTCATGCATTTTCACAAAGATAGACTTGAAAAGAGGTTACCACAAATTCTGATGAAAAAATGTGATGAATGGAAAATAGTTTTCAAGATAAAGTTCAGACTTTACGAATGGCTCGTTATTATCCTTTGGCCTCATTAATGCACCGAGTACATTCATGTGGTTAATGAACTATGTTATGAAAGAGTTCATAGATAAGTATAATGTTTTTTACATCAATGATATCCTTATCTACTCACCTTCTCTTGAATGTCATATCATACATGTTTGTTCTATATTTGAGGTTTTACAATGACAACATTTATTTCCTAACATGAACGAGTGTGTGTTTTATAGTGATAAACTTATATTTTTAGGCTTTATAGTAAGTAGACAGAAAATCCATATAGATGAAGAAAAGTTGAAGGCAATTAAAGAATAGCCCATCCCATTTTCTATCACCGAGGTAAGATTCTTCCACGATTTAGCAAGTTTCTATTAATGTTTTGTCAAGGACTTCTCCACCATTTTCGCACCTTTAACGGAAATAATCAAGAAATTGGTTGAATTCAAATGGGGTCCACAACAACAAGAGGTATTTGAATTACTCAAAGGTAAGTTATGCTTGTGACCCATTTTCTGTCTTCCCAATTTTTCTAACACTTTCGAGCTAGAATGTGATGCTTTAGACATAGAAATAGGTGCAATACTCGTGCAAGAAAGACAACCTATTGTTTACTTTACTAAGAAGTTAAAAACCACACAACTGAATTACTCCACCTATGGAAAAGAACTATTAACAGTCGTCTGAGCAATGGAAGTGTGGCAACATTATCTTCTTTCTAAAGAGTTTGCCATATATACAAACAACGAGTCATTGAAGTGGCTAAATGGTCGAGGTAAGTTAATTAAACGATATGCTCAATGGGTTAAATTTATTAAATCTTTTCTATACTTGATTAGTATAAAAAAAGAAAGATAACATTGTAGCTGATGCATTATCTCAATGGTACACACTAATTAAACAAATTCATGCTGCTGATTTAGGTTTTGAATACATCAAAGAACATTATTCTTCTGATCCAGATTTTTCTTAAATTTACAACCATCGTTCAAAAGGTGTTTTTAACTTGTTTTATGTTATATATGAATTTTTTTCTAAATGAACATGTTGTGCATACCATGAGGCTTGCTGCAAGAGTTTCTAGTCTATAAGTGTCATTTTGGAGGACTAATGGGCCACTTCGATGTAAACAAGATGCTTGACATAGTCCAAGAACACTTCTTCTGGCTGCACATAAGGAAAACTATGGAAAACATATGTGCTTCATGCATCACATACAAACAAGAAAAATCTAAGGTAAATCCTTGTTTATACACTCCTCTACTGATTTCTTCCTTACCTTCGATTGATTGATCTATGGATTTTATTCTGGGCTTACCTTGAACCACGAAAGGGCGAGATAATATCTTTATGATTGTTGACAAGTTTTAAAAATGGCACATTTTATTCCATGTCATAAAACCGACGATGTGACACACATTGTTGATTTATTCTTCCAAGAGATTGTAAGATTACATGGCATCCCATAAGCAATTGTGTCCAATCGAGACAAAAAGTTCATAAGCCACTCTTGGAAGGTATTATGGGGTAAGATAGGTACGAAACTTCTATACTAAACTGCTTTCATCCCCAAATCAACGGACAATAATCAACCTAATTCTAGGTTTTTTAGTTAAAATCGTGGTAGGTTAGAACACTCAAAACTGAGAAGAATGTTTACCTTTCGTTGAATTTGTATACAACAGGTCAATACACTTCACGATAGGTTTGTCTCTATTCGAAATAGTTTATTGATTTAATACACTAACTACTTTAGATCTCATTATTTTTCCCTTAGATCAGATTACTAGCATGGATGGCGAAAACAATACAGCTTTTGTCAAATACATTCAAGCCAAAACTAAATAGATAATGGAGAAAACATACGAAGTAGTGGCCCACAGAGTAAACAAATCCGGACGCCATATCACATTTGAATCGATGACAATTCCTATTGTATTGATCTTCCAAGTGAGTATGACATGAGTGAATCTTTTAATACTACTGACTTATCCCCCTTTAATGTTTAATATTAATAGACGAATCCTTTTAAAAGGGGAGATGATACATGCATTACACGCCCAAAAACTAAAGAAAATGATCTTACTCTACTACTAGGCCCAAACATGAAAGGACAGGCCAAGCTACTAAAAGAAAACTTCAGACTATAGTCCAAGCCTTTATCAGTGAAGGCTTACACGCCCACATAGAAATTAAAGAGTTCAAGGAAGAAAACTTACTTATCATTCCTCCTAGATAAACTTGGATCACCACAACCCAAGTTAATTTTGGGCCCAATTGCCAAACCTACGAAGATATTCCAGAAATGAGTTTGAACCCCTTGAGGCATAAAACTTGTAAAGTTACCCAGTGCTAAATCTATAAAGCCTAGGATAACTCATTATTTAGATTATTTGTTTTATTTTATTAGGATAAGGGTTAATGGATCATTGAATGTAAACCCTTGATACCTTATCACCTTTCACCTTGTTTATCACGCCCAACCACATATCACAAGCCTTGATAGCATATCAAACTCATCCCCTTACTTATCATAAGCATGGGTGTCTATCATATGCATTTTCCAAGCTATGCTACCCATGCCCCTTCTAGAAGACTTATTTGGATCGTCCATCAAGTTACAAGGATCTCATCATACTTACTTTCATGAACATTGTCAAATCAATGCTTCATCAAGGGTCATCATTCATGCCGCCTACCTTCACATGGATTTAGGATATATTTTATTATTATTTTATTTTCCATCATGTTACAACTAAGACTCCTCAAAACCTATATAAAGGAGACTCCTCCCAACATTGTAAACATCAATTCTTTTCTTATATACAATACAACGAGAGTTCACTTTTTTTAGAGCTGATAGACTTGTGCCTTTAAGCTTTTTTTTTCTTTTAGTTCTTTCAAGTTCTTGAGAGAGAGATATTCACACTCCAGTTTAACTTTTCATTGTGATTAAGAGGGCTACTTAAAGTTGTATTATCGAGTATGCCTTTTCATTGTGACTATGAGGATTTAATAGAAAAGTTATCCTTCACATTCATCTTCCATCATGATCATCTTCTTCCCTATATCACCATCATACCATCATTATCCCTAAATTAGGGTTTGCATTATCATCATACCTACCAGGGGTAAATTTTCAAATCGATTTTCCCATCAATTCGACCATCTGATCTCAATTATGTTTTCACCATTACAATCCCTGAATCTTGTCGCGATAACTTTTTTAAAGTGGCGAAAATCAGAATAAATTTAAAAATTTGAATTTTAAAAAATATTTGAAATGTTTGGATTCACCATCAACCTTTGGGATTAGGTAGGTTGAAACTCGGGATATGCCCTTTTAAATAAAAAAAATTAAACGATCTGATTCAGTCTGCGATTCGAGATTTTGGGTTCAGGAGTCGATTATGCTTGGGGAAGGATTAGTACCCCCACAACGCCCAAAATTGGTACCATCAATTATTATTTTATCCCTATAATGAAAATTAAGAAATTTGAATATTTATTTAATTAATGATCCTTTTATTCCATAAAATATTTTAGAAATTTTAAAAAGATGCACAATATTGTCATCCTTAAAAATTAAATAATTATTCAATTATTAAACCCTAAAAGAAATAAAAGGTGACAAATTAGGCAAATTATTATTTAAAAGAATAAGGATGTTCATTGATTTAAAGAACGAATGCCAAGCCTTTGACATTAATCAAACAACTTGTCCTTAGCAATTTAAACGTAGGACAAACCTCTACCCTTTTATTTAAATTAGTGAACATATTTTGCGGTGACTACTTGAAGATTATTTTTTATTCAAAAAATATTAAACAGGGATGTCTAGTTATTTTAAAACCATCCTTTTTAATGTTTAATAACAAAAGAGCATTCTTTTTAATTAATTATGAATTTATATTTATGTGTTTCTAATTAATTTTATTAAAGAAACTAAACCCAAAAGGACATTACTAAACTTATTAATTTCTAACTAAAGAACCTAAACTATGGTTTATAATTAAAACTAAAGAACTTAAAAGCTAAGACTTACTTAAAAATCTAAAGAATAATTTTAATATCAATGATCAAATTAAAAGGTTTAAAAATCTAAAGATTTAATGCTACAATTAAAAGGGCGATTATTTTAAAAGAATAGAGAATTGGCATTTAATATCAATAATTAAACATATTTAATAAAGCATCCAAGCAAATAAGAATGAAATTGATGACTAAATTGAACACATTCAAAATTCGAGAAAGGAATTACAATTATTTGTTGACCAAAATAAAATAAATGAAAAACCACAACCCAAAAAGCAAAACACGCTAATAATGAATTGTTTTAATGAAGCAATT